AGATCAGCCCTGAGCTAACATCCATGCTAATCCTCCTCTTTTTGCTGAGGAAGACCGGCCCTGAGCTAACATCTATTGCCAATCCTCCTCCTTTTTTCTCCCCAAAGCCCCAGTAGATAGTTGTATATCATAGTTGCACATCCTTCTAGTTGCTGTATATGGGACACGGCCTCAGCATGGCTGGAGAAGCGGTGCGTCGGTGCGCGCCCAGGATCCGAACCCAGGCTGCCAGTAGCGGAGTGCGCGCACTTAACCGCTAAGCCATGGGGCCGGCCCTTGTTATCTCTTACCTTTTTGATGATAGCCATTCTAACAGGTGTGAGGTGATATCTCATTGTGGTTTCTATTTGTATTTCCCTGATAAATAGTGATGTTGAGCACCGTTTCACATACCTCTTGGCCCTTTGTATGTCTGTTGAGTTCCTCTGCCCATTTTTTAATCAGACTATTTGGACTTTTTGCTTTTGAGTTGTATAAATTCGTTATATATTTTGGATTAACCCGTTATCAGATGTATGATTTGCAAATATTTTCTCCCATTCTGTAGATTGCCTTTTCATTTTGATTTCCTTTACTGTGCAAAACCTTTTTAGTTTGATGTAGTCCCATCTGTTTATTTCTGCTTTTGTTGCTTTTTTGGTGTCAAATCCAAAAAAATCATTGCCAAGACAGATATCAAGGAGCTCAACCCCTCTGTTTTCTTGTAGGAGTTTTTTGGTTTGGGTCTTATCTTCAAGTCTTTAATCCATTTTGAGTTGATTTGGGGTATGGTGTAATGTAAGGGCCCAGTTTCATTCTTCTGCATGTGGCTGTCCAATTTTCCCAGCACCGTTTATTGAAGAGACTATCCTTTCCCCATTGTATATTCTTGGCTCCTTTGTCGTAAATTAATTGACCAAATATGCATGAGTTTATATCTGGGCTCTCTGTTCTATCCATTGGTCTGTGTGTCTGTTATTATGCCAGTACCATACTGTTTTGATTACTATAGCTGTATAATATAGTTTGAAATCAGGAAGTGTGATGCCTCCAGCTTTGTTCTTTCTCAAGATTGCTTTGGCTACTCAGGGTCTTTTGTGGTTCCATATACATTTTAGGATTGGTTTTTCTGTTTCTGTGAAAAATGCAATTGAAATTTTGATAGGAATTGCATTCAATCTCTGGATTACTTTGGATAATATTAATTCTTCCAACCCAAGAACATGGAATACCTTGCCATTTATTTGTCTTCTTCAGTTTCTTTCATCATTGTCTTATAGTTTTCAGTGTACAGGTCTTTCACCTCCTTGGTTAAAGGTATTCCTAAGTATTTTATTCTTTTTGATGCTATTGTAAATGGGACTGTTTTCTTAATTTCTCTTCTTGATAGTTCGTTGTTAGTGTATGAAACACAACTGATTTTTGTAAACTGATTTTGAATCTTGCAACTTTACTGAATTAGTTTATTCTAACAGTTTTTTTGGTGGAGTCTTTAGGGTTTTCTATATATAATACCATGTCATTTGCAAACAGAGACAGTTTTCTTCCTTTCTCATTTAGATGCCTTTTATTTTTTTTTCTTGCTTAGTTGCTCTGGCTAGGACTTCCAATGCTATGTTGAATAAGAGTGGCGAGAGTAGGCATCCTTGTCTTATTCCTAATGTTAGAAGAAAAGCTTTCAGATTTTCACCATTGATATGATGTTAGCTGTGTGTTTGTCATATATAGCCTTTATTATGTTGAGTTCTGTTTCCTCTATACTCAGTTTGTTGAGAGTTTTTATCATGAAAGGATGTTGAATTTTGTCAAATGCTTTTTTTGCATCTGTTGAGATGATCATGATTTTATTGATGATTGAGATGATTTGATCTCAAATCAGATGATTTTCATTTTGTTAATGTGGTATATCACATTGATTGATTTGCAGATATTGAACCATCCTTGCATTTCTGGAATAAATCCCACTTGATCATGGTGTATGATCCTTTTAATGTACTGTTGAATTCAGTTTGCTAATATTTTGTTGAGGATTTTTGCATCTATGTTTATCAGGAATAATTTTCTTTTGTTGTAGTATCCTTGTCTGGTTTTGGTATCAGGGTAATGCTGGCCTCATAAAATAAGTTTGAAAGTGTTCCCTCTTCTATTTTTTGGAAGAGTTTGAGAATTGGTATTAATTCTTCTTTAAATGTTTGGTTGAATTCACCAGCATAACTGATAACTGTCTGGTCCTGGACTTTTCTTTGTTGGGAAGTTTTTGATTCAGTCTCCTTACTAATGACTAGTCAGATTTTCTGTTTTTTTCTGGTTCAGTCTTGGTAAGTTGTATGTTTCTAGGAATTTTTATCCATTTCTTCCACATTGTCCAATTTGTTGGCATATATTTGTTCATAGTAGCCTCTTAAATTTTGAGTGTTCTTATATGGTATAATCTTTTGCTTAAGAAAAAAGCTTAAAATTGGCAAAAAAAATTGTACAAACTTAAATGATATGTTACTCAATATTATTTTGTTTCATTTATTATCAGGGAATATAAACTGGGAAGGAGAAGTGAGATCTGCGTAGAGCCCCTTCAGAAAGAAGAAAACTTGGGGTAAGACCTCCTCCTACACATACAGAGTTACACACGCATCTTATCACAGTGGAGAGTTAGTTTCTTTAAAAATTTAACAACTTAATAGTAAATTAGGTTTTTCACTGCTTTTCTGAGTAGTCTGGCAACTTAAAACAGATTGTGTTCTAGAAATGTATTTCTGTGTCTGGTGTCTAGAACTTGAAACTCATTTTTCCATATAAACAGAATTTTCCAGTAAGTCCCAAATGCATATTGATCTTGAAATGTAAGCAAAATGCTCACCCCCAGCTTTTATCAATGCATTCAGATAGTCTCTTGTCAAACTGATTTGTAATAGCACCTGTCACCTGCCCCTTTATCCTAATTGTTTTGTCCTAATATCCTCTGATATAGTACATACTTATTGAATTGTCTGTTATTATCTGTCTCCTACTACTAGGATATAAGCTTTGTGAGAGCAAGTACTTTGTCTTTTGGTCACTGCTGTATCCCCAATACCTAGAACAGTGGCTGTGTCATAGTCAACAATCAATTATTGAAGAGAGAAGCACCCCAAAGTGGTCTACCATCAAACCTTCCTGTTCTTTTTCTCACGATAGGAAAATCTTTTATAAGACCTTTTTGTCAGTGTAAATATTAAGATTCTTTCTACGTGATAGGATGTGAATATCATTCTTGTAGTCAGCCTGTTGTACCATAACTCTAACAGCACTCTTTCAACCATGTCTAACTTTCATTTAATCCCGTTGTTCTTATAAAAATGCAGTCTTCATACAGGGGCTGGCCTGGTGGTGTAGTGGTTAAGTTTTCACGCTCTGCCTGGGCAGCCCAGGGTTCACAGGTTTGGATCCTGGGTGCAGACCTACCCACCACTCATCAAGCCATGCTGTGGCAGGCATCCCACATACAAAATAGAGGAAGAGTGGCAGAGATGTTAGCTCAGGGACAATCTTCCTCACTAAAAAAAAAAAAAAATGCATTCTTCATAGAAATTGTATTTCCAGGAGTAGTTTCCTGAAGGGGAATTTTTGGATCAAATGGTATGGACATTTTAAACCTCTTAAAATAAATTGTTGAATTCCTTTCCAGGTAAGTTATAGCAATTTATATTCCTGCAAGCAGTGTTTCTGTGTATTTACTTCACCTCACCTTCAAACCAACATTGCATATGTTCATTGTTTAAATGTTTGCTAAATTGATAAATGAAAAATGGTTATCTTGTCTCATTTGCTTCAGTGCTTTGATTGCTATTAAGTTGGGCATTTTTTCAAAGGCTCATGAGCCATTTGTATTTTGTGAGTGTGAATTATTTCATATATTTTGCCTATTTTTCTAATGGGGTCTTAGAAAAAAGTCTAATTTAATTTGTGGGAGCTCTTTCTATGATAACGACACTGACCCTTTGTCGTATGTGTTGTAAGCCTTGTCCTTTTGAAGGCTGTGCTGTGCACTTCCTTAGACCCCCTCCCCATCGGCTCTTCTGTCCTTGACTGACCTCCAGAGCTCTCTTGTCTCCTCCGTGAGGCCTCTGGTCCCTCCTCGTCCTCCTCACCCCAGCCTCTGTCACCTCCTTGGCAGCTCCAGTGCCTGCGCTCACCACGCTCCCTATGCTCCGGCGTCACTGCCTCAGCTCCGGGCCCTCAGCTCTCTCAGCGACCCCACACCACCTTCACCCTGCGGGAGAGGTTCCGTCTCTCAGAGCTCCCTTCTTGACCGAAGTCGCCTCCCTTCCCCTCTCAACTCCTGATGCACCAGGCCTGCGCTGTTTCCTCCGGTTGTTCTTTTTCTTCTGTTCTATCACCCTTTCTCTTTGGTAAAAACACCAAATATCACAGAAATACAGATTTCAAACCCCTCATTGTCTCACCATCCTAAAAATACCGTTACTCCCCTCTCTACCTTCCAGTTCTTACCTGTAGTTTTTACTTCCTGTCCTGTAATGATCTCCATCCGTCTCTCTGAGTATTTCTCTTCTTTCCCTCCCTCCGAGGACTTTCATCCACACTCTTCTCCAGCCAGGGATTCTTTTGCTCTCGCAGCTGCAGCTGTCATCTCTGCACCTCTAGCCCCCTCTCTTCCCACCTCTCAGCACGGGCTACCCCCAGCAGCTCAGAGTTTCAGCACCTGCAATAGCTTCACAGCTCTGGATCTGATGCCCGCCTTTCCCGGGGAGTCGCCGTGGCTGGGACCCTAGGCCGGTTGACCCCTCCCCTTCACCCTCATGGTGTGGCCCAGCTCAGCCCTTTAGCTCTGCTTCCCGTCTTCCCTCTGTGCCCCCTGAGGAAGGTTCCTCCACCACCCTCAGCTGCCCCCCCAGGGGCCTCTGCTGTGGGCTAGAATGGGAGCTTCCACCTCTTTTCTGGGCCAGGATTGAAGGAAACCGAAGTAGAAAAGAGCGTTTCCCACTAGCATTCAGGATTTAGGGAAAATCTCTCCTTATACAAACCAGAAGAGTTGGAGGCAAAGTTTCACCCATCTTGTCCCCCATAGTTATTGCAAAGTTCTCATTTTGTTTGTTTTAAATTTGACTTATGATTATTTTCTGGCGCAGCCCCCAGGACGTGCTGCTGAGGACACAGATGCGCCTCCCCGGCGAGAGGGCATACGCCCTGCCCCTGGACTTGGTGTGGGATGCTGCCCGAGGCTGGACTGCTGGCTCCCTCAGGCAGCGAGTTGCTGATTTCTATTCTCTTCCTGTGGAAAAAATTGAAATTGCCAAATACTTTCCTGAAAAGTTTGAGTGGCTTCCAATATCTAGCTGGGTAAAGTTGTGGGGCTTTCTCAGAGAAATTAGGCCTTACTGGCATAGTGACTAGGTTAACTACAGTTTCTTACAGATAGGGAATTTAGTAAGAATTTGAGGTTGAGTTTTCTTTATTCAAGATGCTTGATTTTTTTATAGAACCAGCAAATTACTAAGAGGAAAAAGAAGAAAAAGCAAGATAATTTGCAGGGGATGCCTTATTACTTGAAAGATGGAGATACTATTGGTGTTAAGGTAAGTTGTTTAATAGCAAATATACCACTTTGACAAAACACCAGGATCAAATGATTTTATAGAGGTTTTATCAAATCTTCAAGGCACAGATAATCCCATTTTATATAAGTTTTTTTAGAGAATGGAAAAAGAAAAAGAGGGAAAGCCAGACAACTCATTTTATGAGGCCAGTAGAACCTCAATAGCAAAACCTTATTTGGGGTATGACTTGGATGGAAATGCTCTGCGGTTTTATCAGCAGTGTGGGGCTGTGGGTTTGAGGAGGGGCCTGTCAGGGTTAGGATGTCTCCTTCCATCCCCCGTTTTGCTCTAGGTTCTTTTTTTTAAAATCATGATTTGAGCACTGGATTTTTTTTTTTTTAAGGTTTTTTTATGTGTGTGTGTGTGAAATTTTTGTTGTACATTATTATTTGTCCAGTCACCCTATAAATGCATCCCTCCACCCTTAGCACTGGATTTTTATTTTTTTTTATAATTTTATTTATTTATTTTTTCCCCCAAAGCCCCCATAGATAGTTGTATGTCATAGTTGCACATCCTTCTAGTTGCTGTATGTGGGACGCGGCCTCAGCATGGCCGGAGAAGCGGTACGTAGGTGCGCGCCCGGGATCCGAACCCCGGCTGCCAGCAGCGGAGCATGCGCACTTAACCGCTAAGCCACGGGGCCGGCCCTGGATTTTTAATATTAAATTTTATTCTATGTATTTTCTGCATCTGTTGAATTAGCCATATGGTTTTTCTTCTTCTTTTTTTTTTTTAATGAATAAGATTAGCCCTGAGCTAACTCCCGATGCCAGTCCTCCTCTTTTTGCTGAGGAAGGTTGGCCTTGGGCTAACATCTGTGCCCATCTTCCTCGACTTGATATGGGATGCCACCGCAGCATGGCTTTACAAGCGGTGCATTGGTGTGCGCCCGAGATCCAAACCTGTGAACCCCAGGCCGCCACAGCAGAGCGCACGCACTTAACCGCTGTGCCACCAGGCCAGCCCCATGGTTTTACTTCTTTAGTCTGGTAGTGTGGTGTTACTACATAAATAGATTCATGACACTGGGCCATCGTTGCATTCTTTGGACAAACCTTTGTTGTCATGTAGCAATATTTTTTGTATTAAGGATTAATAATTTATTAATCCTTAATTCTAATAATAATTCATTAATTATTAATCCTTACTATTTATCGCTATAATTTATTAATTATTGATATTATTTTGTAATTAATTTGTTGATATAATTAAGTTGTTGATTTAATAATTCATATTTTTATATGGGGAAATAAGCATTCTCTTAATCACCACTTCTGTTCAGCATTATACTAATCAATGTGGCCAATGTAATATGCCCTTCCTCCCTGCAAAGAAAAGTAAATAAAAATTGAAAGAGAGGTAAAAGAAATTCTAAAAGGAAATACAAAACTGTTCTTACATGCAGTTTTTCTATAAAGGAGGTTCAAGAGACTACAGATAAACCCTTAGGTTAAGAGAGTTCAAAAGATTATAAGATCAATATACATGAAACTACAAAGTACCTAGGAATACATCCAACAAAAAGATTGATAAGACCTTTCTGGAGAATATTACTAAAATATTGAGCAGTATTAAAGCTTCATTTAGGTACAGAGCCATATGTTCTTGGAGGGTAAACCCCACAATAGTAAAGCTGTCAGTTCTTCCCACGTCCCTAAGTTCAGTATCATCCCAGTGAATGACCGTATCGATTGGATTAAAGACAGTACGTTCATACGGAAGAGCAAAGGGCTGGGGAGCTAAGGTGTTTTCAGGAAGAACAAGGTCAGGGTACTTGCCTTACCAAGTGATAAGACTGATTATACAGCTGTCGTGACAATGTCACTTTGGGCCCGGGGTCAACAAATAGGATTGGGATATGAGAGCCCCAAAACAGAATCACACATGTGAGGAAACTTGACAAGTATTTGAGGCAACGTTGAAAATGGATTATTCAATAAATGGTGCTGGGAGAATTGGTTATCCATATAGGAAAATTGAAGTCGTAATTCTGATTTCATTTTCATAAAGAGGGTCCCCAAATTTATGTAAGCTTTAGGCTCCATAAAATCTCTGTCCACCTCTGCTCACACCATATACAGCAATCAATATGGAAACTCAAATGTGAAAAGCAGTGATTTTCAACCTTTCGAAGAAAAGGTTAAGAAATATTTCTTAAAATAAGAAACAAAAAACAAACCATAAAGGATGGATAAATTCACCTATATTAAAAGTAAAAAATTTTGTTCATCACAGGAAGCCATAAAAAGCGGGGCCAGCCCTGTGCCGTAGTGGTTAAGTTTGCCTGCTACACTTTGGCAGCCCAGGGTTCGTGGGTTCAGATCCCAGGTGCAGACCTACACACCACTCATCAAGCTATACTGTGGTGGCATCCTGCATACAAAATAGAGGAAGATTGGCACAGGTGTTAGCTCAGAGCCAATCTTCCTTACCAAAAAAAAAAAAAAAGTGAAAAGACAAACCACAAACAGGAAAAGATTTATGCAACAATATAACGAACAAGGATATTATCCAGAAAATATAAAGTACTTCTGCAAACCAGTCACAGAAAGATCACCCAAAAGGGAAGAAATAGGCAAAGAGTGATACCTGGAAGTTCTCAGAAGAGAAAACTAAATGGCCAGTAAGCAGATGGGAAGACAGGGAACTACCTGGTAACCAGGGACCTGCAAAACGAAGCAGTGAGCTCAGAACCCCCCACCCACTAGCAGTGGGAGTGCAAATTGGCACAGCTACTCTGGAGAGCAGTTGGGCAGTTTTTAGTAAAGTAAAAGATGCCCATACAATAGATAAAACCAAGTCATTGCACTCTTGGATGTATAACCTGCAACAACACGCTCGTGTGTGTGGGGAGACGTACAGAAATGTTCACTGAAGCACTGTTGGTGATAGTGTAAATTGGAAAGAACTTAAATGACCCTCAGAAAGGGGACAGATAAAATGGAAAAAAAAGTACTGATAGTGTGGTATAGAACACAGCAGTTCAAACGAATGAACCAGGGCTACATACGTCAACGTGAATATTTGATGTTGAAAAAGAAAACAAGGTCACAGAACGATTGTTTGTAGAAAGTGTACAACCGTGTAAGATGCTGAGGGTCATATTCCCGTGTAGTAATCGAGTGAAAATGAAGGTGGGAGCAATAGCAGCACACTCAGCATAGTGCTTACCTCTAGTGGGGCAGGGGCAGTGACAGAATCTTGTTTTTTCTTGAAAAATAAAAATGAAGCAAATATGGTAAAAGGTTAATACTATTGATAGCTACCTTTCACTGCACATTTTATATGCCCAGCACCATCCATGTGCACGTTTAACTCCAGTTTTCCTCATGAGAACTGTAGGAAGGAGGTGCCGTTTTAAGATGAGGAGGCTGGGGCGCACAGAGGTTACGGGACTGGTGTACCCATGGATTTGCACCCAGGCGTGCTCTAACTGCTGTGCAGCACTGCCTGTGCCCTCGCTTATGCTACCCTGAGAACATGGGTGTCTATCCAGTTAGCTCCATATTTTCTCTTATTTTATAATGTTTGACAATTTTTAAAAAGCATATCAGGCACAGATTTTACTGGAATAAAAATTATAGTATGTTTATCATGCTCCCCCCATTTATTGGACTAGAGATTATAATCTTTGTTACAACATTTTTCTCACCTGAGACTGGAGATGCAGCAAAGCCCTCCTGCAGGTCTTCAGTTAATCTCCTGTCAGTGAGGTTTCTAGTTACAGCACATGGAACTAGAGTTAACGCCTCCAAATCTGCACGTGGGAATGTGGCCAGTGATCTGGGGAACCCTTAACCCAGGGCCTGGCAAGCCTCAGAACTGTCTTTCTGTGGCATACATTTCCTTCCTAGTGATGTTTTCTCAGGGTTAACACTTTGATTAGTTAACACTCCCTGAGACGTGCCTGTGGGCAGCTGAGGAAAAGCCAGTATCTGTGGTAAATAATAATCACATGTGAAACTGACTGGGCGGGGGCAGCCATGGTCCCTCGGGAGAAGGTACAGAGCATCCTGGATTGGTGAAGTACTGCGGTCCAAGCTTCAGGGAAGCGCCGGGGAGTTAGAAGACACAGTGCGGGCCTTGCAGAAGCTCTCGGTGTCGCTGTAGAGCTACGTAGGTTAGAACAGTTTGACAGTGTTTAGAGAACAGACCGCCGTGTTTCTAGCATGCGGGGGTGATCTGTGTGATCGCTGTCCGCGGTCTCTGGCTCGTGTCCTCATCTCCCCACACAGCCCTTTGCCCGGCTCACTCGGGGAGCGTGTGTGGTGGAGGCGAAGGCCGGAGGGCTGCAAAGTAATTCCCGTCTGGGGCTCTTCTGTCACTCACTCCATTCGTCTTCATCAAGCACTAGAGTGTTGTGTATCCTTTATTACGGTATTAATCTAGTTGATGTACATTTGGATATCTCCTTTTGTCAATTTAGGTAATTTTTTACACGTCTCAAATGTAGGCTAAAAAGATGTCTGAAAACATTGCTCGTTACTTATTTTGAAATGTAGAATCTCCTGGTTGAAGATGATGATGACTTCAGTACAGTCAGAGATGACATTGGAAAAGAGAAACAGAAACAGCTCACTCTGGGAAAAAAGAAAAGGTAATACCAGTATTCTCACTCACGTGACAGATTCCCCTGGAACCTCTGGGCAGCTCTCGTTCATTCTCACTCGACAGATCTTGATTAGGGCTCAGAACTCTCGTTACACGAACCTGGGCTTCATAAAGAAGTCGTGTTGTGGGATTCTTCCCTGCCGCCGGCACGTTTACGTGTTCTTGAGAACACCTCCTAAAGGGCTCTCTGCGGGACAGGTGAAGGAGACGTGGCACCAGAACTCATCAGGAGGAGACCTCACCCATGCCCCGGGTCTCATCCTGTCCCTTCCTGGGGAGCTCTGCGTCCTCCTCTCTCCCATCCTCACCCGCTCCCCGTCTTCTGGGTCTTTTCCTTCAGACACCAACCACCTCAAGTCTCAGTCATCTGAAAACAAGAGCACTCCCGATCAGATGTGCCATTCCAGCTACTCTTCTCCATCCCCTCCGGGGAATTAGCCTGGTCCCTAATCCATGGAGCTTCCCCTTACTTCCCTGCACTGCTGACCCCTCCCCCTGCACGAAACTCCTCCCCCCTGGTTCTCCTCTTGCCTCCCAGGCTCCTTCCCTGTCCATCTTCCTGGGTCGGAGTCCTCCTGCTCTTTCTTCACCCTGCATGCTCCACCTGAGTCACCTCACCTTCTGTACATAATCCAGCTCTCTCTCTTGGCCTGCAAGCCACATACACCTTCCAGAATTTACTGGAACATCCCACCAAAGCCAATACTTCAAACTCCATGTGCCTGAACCCAACTCGCACCGCCACGGTTCACGTCATCACCCCCACACAGGCCACACTAGGGGCGCCATAGTCACCCTTGTCTGCTCCCCACTTCCAGTCTCATTAAGTCTCGCTCTGTCCTGCATCGGCCTTCCCCCCCCGTTCTCATTGCTCTGGCTTGCTGGGTGGTCTTTTTTTTTTTTAAGATTTTATTTATTTTATTTTTTGCCCCCAAAGCCCCAGTAGATAGTTGTATGCCATAGCTGCACACCCTTCTAGTTGCTGTATGTGGGACTCAGCCTCAGGATGGACAGAGAAGTGGTGCCTCGATGCGCACCCGGGATCCGAACCCGGGCCGCCAGCATCGCAGCGCGCGCACTTAACCACCAAGCCACAGGGCCGGCCCAATTGCTGGGTGGTCTTGTCTTACCTGAGTTAGTGCAGTAGCCTTTGATGTAACTACCTGCCCAGCTAGCCCCTGCTCATCTCCTAATCTTCATCTCCTCCTGCCCCTGTGTCTCAGTACCCACGTGTCAGGTATGGTGGGACCACAGCAAGTAAGACATGCCCTCTGCTGCCCGGGGCGCCTGGCGGGGCTGCAGCGAGCAGTACAAGCGAGTGAGGGTGAGGTGGCGGTGGTGTCACCCAGATGTGTGCATGAATGATAATGGCTCACGGAGCTGGACATTTAAGATTTGTGCATCTGTGAATGTTATACTTTGATTCAAAAAGTGGAGAGAGAAAGATTACTCTGTGGTGAGACATTTTCACCCAGCAGATTGGAAAAGACCTGAGTGTGACCCGCTGTGTGGGCAGGGTGTGGGAACCTGCCGTCCTGCACGTGGAGAGGGGGCGGATAAGCTGAGGTCCTCCAACGGGGCAGTTTGGAAATAACTGTCAAAATTGCAAACCCACATCCCTGTGGCCTGTGCTAACTTGACCCCTAAAAGTTGGAGTGACCTTTGGGGTCATTCCAAACCCCTCGACCCGGTGAGGCCCGCTGTGTCCGTGACGGCGAGTGAGTGACACCTCTGTGTCTCCTGCAGCCAAGAAGCCCTGCGTGTGCAGAGCAGCCATGTTTTCTCCGGGACAGAGGCGCCTGCCCGGCCCCGTGGACCAGAAGCTTCTCTCTCCATCCACGTTGGGAGTTTCAGGTAGTGCTGGCAGCTGCCGCCATCCCGGTGGGCACAGCGCCCAGGCGGTGCTGGTACCAGAGGAGCTGATCTCCCCTGGGCCTGGCGGGGCCTCGTCGGCTGCATGCACAGGGCTCTGTGTTCCTGCTACAATTCGCCATTCTGTTCCAGGAGAGCAAGTTAGTTGGTTTTCTGCCTTGTGCAGACACGGACTCCAGACCTCTGCTTTATTATGAGCAAGGGGATGTTTCATCTCAGGCCAGGCAGGTGCACTTGATCGCTCTGCTGTGCAGCCCGTTCCCCCGGGAGGCTGGCACAGACCTGGCGATACTGCAGGTGCCAGTCAGATGTTGCCCTCCCACCACGCTTGACCCCCACTGCTGTTTTTCTCAGAAAACTTATTTGTTGTGCATTAACTGCAGATGTAGATCAAATGGTACCTTGCTAACGCCTGACAAATCTGCCGTTTAAGATACATGTGTTCCGTTCTCTTCTACGCTGTTCACATGACTTTGGTATCTGTGTTAACAAAGGTTCTGACAGCTCCCGCTGAGGGTCTGGCCAGCCTCATGCTGTGACATAAAGGGAGTCCCCACACAGCACGTGTTCCCCCTTTGGTCTGAGTGAAAACTGTGATTCTAAGTAGCGTTAGCTCTGTTGGGAATGAGGTGACAGAGGGGACAGCCTCTGGAGTTAAGTATTCACTGCTAAAGAGACAGGAGCCTCAGGTGTGGCTGCCACACGGCCCAGCAGCCCTGAGGTGTCCTCTGACTGTGCTGTCTGGTCAGAACATTCTCGCTGTGCTGCTGCTGTTGCCGCTGCTGCTGGAGCCTCCTCGCGTCCCAAGTCTGGAGGGAGGTGGGGTCGTGGCGGACAGGCCTGAGGAGGCTGATCGTCCTGAGTAGCCTCAGTTAAAACAAAAAGAAAATGTCAACTAAGATTCTTCTCATAATTTAGCATGGCTTGACCGATTTAGGACACGGATGATTCACTTTCTTAAACTCTGACTGAGTTGAAAGCAGGATTCGTGAGAAAATGTAATCAGTTCTTTCTTACCTCAGATGAAGCTTTGTAGCAACTCTCTTGCTGAGTATGGTTATCATCTTGATTTCAGACAATTTCTCATGAGCGCTTTTATCACTGATATTAAAATAGCACTTACATGTTATGAGATGGAAAGAAATCGACAGACGTGGCCCATGTCTGGGCCTGCCCCGCCGGCCTAGGGAAGCCAGGTTCACGTTGTCACACTGTGCTGCCTCTCACAGCTTGACATGGAGTGGAATGGCCCTCCGTCCTCCTTCCAGCACCGTCAGAACCACTGCTAGAACTGCAGCCTCTCCTCTGGGTCTGGCTGAGAGGGTGGGTCACAAATGATGTATTCATCCGTAAGAAGTTGGACTTGGACTAGCGAGCTGCTTTCAGGTTCTCAGACACTAACTCGTCCAGGAGCCTCGCACGTGGGGTCCAGACTGCATCAGTCAATGGACCTGGCGTGTTTTTGATGACAGCAAACTGGCATGCTCTGGTGAGCTGTGGCTGGAAGCCCAGGCCCTGTGGATGAGCCATTCTGTTCCTGACTCGGACTGACGTGTGTCCTGGGTATGCCCCTCGTTTCATAGTCAGGTAATAAAATATTAACGTGATACTGAAAAGCTTTGCTTTTGAGAAGCCAGAGGCCTCACTGGATGTGACTTACCAGGACGAACACGGAGGACATAACTTAAAGGGCCCCGCAGGGAGCGCCCGCTGCGGCCTGGGGCCCTCCAGAAGGTCTCTGCGTGTTGGCCCCCTTCCTGCCTGCCTTTTTTTTTTTTTTTTTTTAATTCGGAGATGGAACGGGGCCACAGGGAGAGAGCTGTGAGATTTCGTTAGAAAAGAAAGAAACTGTCCTTCCCGTTGTAGTCTTCCGTTTCCACTGACGGCTTCATGTTCTACTTGGCCTCTTTTCCCAAGCGAACTTCAGGTGCTAAATAAACACGGTTTATATTTAGAAATACTGTACCAGTACTGCTTTAGAAATAACAGAAGTGTGTTTTGGTTTTAAATAAATTCAGACTCCCGGGAAAAGTTGTATTGGAAGAAATTGGAAGTGGTCTGGTTCTCTCCTTCCAGGGAAATAGATTTCCATTCCAGGCAATGATGGTTGAGTTGCAGAAAACATGTTTACTCAACTATGACATTTTTCTGGCAAAGAAAGGGGAGGCACACAAGAATTCCCTGATAATCCAAAATCATGGCCTCACAGGTGTCGGTTTCCCTCCGGAACAGACTTAACCGTGCAGGACCGAGTCCTGTGCCCTTGCCCGTCTGGACAGGAGCACACCGGCTCCTCTCGTTCTGTTCTCACTTACGCGCCAGTCTGAAGTGTGGCCATACTACCGTCAATAAGCTACACAGCAGATGTCCTGGGGGTGTGTTTACGTTCTGGAAATTCACTGCACTTCAGAGAGGAGAGTGAAGCAGTAATATCAACACACGAGTAAGAGGAGATGTTTCCAGCTCCCTCCAGTCGCTGCGTTTCCCTCTGGCCCCCGCCCGGCCCAGGAGAGCGCGAGGGCGGCGCTGACAGCGGCTCTCCCCAGGCGCCCTGTCGCTGCTGCTGTGTTAGCTGGACCCCCCACTTGCAGGTGCCTGGACCCGACTCAGGCTGGCTTGAGGAAAAATGGGCATCTCCTGGCTTGGGAAATGGAAGAGCCCACGGTGGAGCTGACACCGGGCCCATGGAGGGCCGAACGCCTGAAAGACGGCTGGAGCCTGTCCAGGGCCCTGGTGCTTGTCTCTCCCAGGTGGCTTCTGTCCCCCGAGGGCTTTTCCCAGGCTGGCGAGATGCCACCAGCAGCCCCAGATTTGCCTCCTGTCAGACGCGGTGCTTCCGTCCAGGGACCTGTAAAGTCCCGGCCTGACACCCATCGGCCCCAAGTGGGTGACATGCCCACCCTGCTGTCGGCTCCATTCACGCCAATGAGGGGGAGGAGGGCAGGTGATGGTCCCCCAAAGAAACTCTAAGTGCTGTGGGCTGCAGGGCCCCCGCGGTCCAGCCCCTTGGCTGCCCAGCGTGCATCATGGTCTTCCACGCGGGCGTCTCACAGCTGCCAGCACCTCACCTGGATGTTGGCAGCTGTTCCAGCTATAGCTGTCCACACCGTCCCTCCCCAAAGGAAGGACCTCAGAGTCCCACCCAGCTGCTGCTCCAGCCCAGCCCAAAGTCCCTAGAGGCAGACCTCTGGGTTGGGTCCCATCGCTAAATGACAAACATACTCCCACCCAGAACGAGTGGACAGAGGGGTGAGGTGACCACAGTGCACAGAAGCGGCCCCAGGGCAGCAGTCGGGGCCCACGCAGCCTGACCCTGCGGTTACACCTCAGGTGGAGGTTGGGAGGACTCCCCTGTGCGGTGGTAGCACTTGGGCATTTTCTTCCTGAGTGTGCACGTCCTGGAGGCCTGGGGACAATGACCTTGGGGTCAAGTGACCACAGGCTTTTGTTCACCGCGTGGGGTTTGGCTGGCAACACGATTTCCAGAAGTTCAGGCAGCTTACGGTTGATCCGCTTCCGTCAACAACGTGAGCAAGAGAGCCTTGTAACTCCCCGGCCAGCTGGCTCTCTTCCCCGTGTTTTGTAGTGTTTGATGCTTTTGTGATCAAAACTCTGGAAGGGCCGTGCCCAAGCTCCTGCTTGATACAGACACATGTTCCAAGGTCAGCTCCCGGGCTGGGCTGGTGTGGTCAGAGCTGCCACCCCCTGGTGTGTGCAGCGCCTCTGTCTAGGTCCACTTGGCATGCAGACCGTCCTCCAGTGAGGCCTCCACACACTGTAAATGCCTGTGCAGGTGTGCACCAGTCTGCTCTGAAGTCTCCTCTGCACCAGTTCGCCCATCTCCCGCAGGGGCCCCTGGCTCATTCTTTGGCCTCACTCCTGCATAACAGGTATAACTCGGGTCTCTATATGCTTTTGCTTTTGCCTTTCCAAATACAAAACCTTTGCCCAATTCTCCCTGCAGGAGAGATGAGACTGTTATGGAAGGACTGATGTAAGGAATTAGGTTCAACTCTATGAGACAGAGAACAAGACGTGTCTGGTTTTCACTCATATAAAAGAAGTGCAATGGGAGGCGCTCCAGGACTTCATGGAGATGTCAAGGAGGGGGCTTCCACCTCTGTAACCCTCAATACTTGCTTCCATTCTCAAGGCCATTTCAGGGCCCAAGCTGGCTGCTGGAGGTCCAGCCATCGTGTCCACCCTCCAAGCTAGCAGCAGGAGGAAAGAGAAAAGCACATTCTCATGATTTTAAGGAAACTTCCTGGAAATCTCAGTTAATACTTAACATCTCTTTGGCCAAAACTTAGTCACATTAATAAGGTTGACTGCCAAGGAGCCTGGAGAACGTGGTCACATTTGCAGGGGCGTATTTAGGCACAGTGCTCCCCCAGGTGATGCAGGGGTTCTCTGGGGGGCGTGGGAGGAGAGGACTGATGTCCATAGGCATCTAGCAGTGGCTTCCACAAATGCCAAGAGAGAGTTGGAGCTTCTAGCACTCAAACTTAGATCATGCAACACAGGCCAGGACGAGGGTAAGCCAGGCCTTGGGTGCAAAACTTAGAGGCGCCCGAAACACTTTTAAATCAGGACAGATCATTTTTCACCACAATATTTTTAGAAATCAAAATTAATGCGGAAAACAAAATATCAAAATTTTAAATGAAGACGAGATCCGCAACGAGTCAGCAGCCACGCGAGCCTGGATCTTTTTCAGCAAACGCCTTCTCCAGCCCTTGCTGCATCCAGCCAGCACATCCTCGACCACCCCAGGCCAGCTCGCTCACAGGGCTCTCCCGAGCGGCGGGGACCGGGGTCAGAAAGGAGGAGGCGCACAGAAGGAAAGATGGGTCTCAACTTACCCTCTCTAGCCCCCGTGACCCGAGCTTAACCTCCCCAAGCCACCTGCAGTCACCACGCGGCGTAGACTCTGAGCGGGAGCCAGCGGAGGAGCCTCGGTGCCTGTGGCAGAGGCCCGAGTCCAGGGGATGGAAACCCCCAGGGCGGAGCGGGAGCGGTGGCAGGCACGTTGGCTGGGCGACAACAGTTCGGGATGAGCCGTCGGCCTCCCAGCCGGCAGGAGAGGCCAGGTTGGCAGAGGGAAGGCTGCCGACCCGAT